GTTGGAAGAGTAGGGTTTTATTTCTTTGTCTGTTTCTTGCTTTTTATGTGATTTGAATGAATTGTCAATTGGGTGGGAGCGTCTTTTAACGGTCATTTTTTTTTTAATCATACGACGGCCGTAAATGATTTATTTTCAAATGGGAAATGGGAGGTGATTGTGATCTTTCATTCTGATATAATGGATTTATTACCAAATTACAAGGCTAATTATGTTAGAATATTTCACAACTCCTAATTTATTTCGTTACCGAATATATCTTGCGTTAATTCCTCAACAATCCTTAATGCATAATTGAATTTCTTGTCAGTCTCTAGGAGCACCCACGTTAATTCTTCACAATTTTCTTTTTTTTTTTTAATAGACAAAGCATTTTTTTTGTATGCATTTATTATTATGATATTTTTATTGGTTGTTGGGTATACTAGACCTAGTACCTTTTTTTTTTGCATTGAATAGATTTTGAATTTTTTAGCTTGGGTTTGTCCATGTCATTAGAGCATCCACAATGCTTTGGATCTATTTTTGCATATGTGGCAAATAAATAGACTTAAGTCCATAATGACATGGACAAACCCAAGCTAAAATATCTAAAATCTATCCAATGCAAAACAAAAAAGTACTAGGTCTAGAATGCTAAACAACCAATAAAAATATAGTAATAATAAATGCATACAAAAAAATGTGTTTTGCCTATTAAAAAGAGAAAGAAAATTGTGAACAATTAATGACTAGGTGGGTTTGCACTTGGGTCCAAAATAGACCCAAGTGTGGACTTAGTCTTTTTTTTCTAGTGCCACATAAGTTGGACTAGGTCTACTTTTAATTGCATTGTGAAATATTTTTCTATAGACTATGTCTATTTCCTACATGGAATGTGATTTTTTTCTAAGAGACCCAAAGCATTGTGGGTGCTCTTATGGACTTAAGTCTATTTATTTGCCATATATGCAAATTAAACCCGATGTATTGTGGGTGCTCTAATACATTTGCTTGCCCTCTGCATTCTCTAAGGCCATCTTCGGCCCTTATCTCTACTCTATCGCGGACTTTACTATACTCTAGAGTAGAGTGAAACATTTTTCTCCAACCTTATCTCTACATTTTACTCTATATTATTTACATTTTATTCTTATTATTTTAAATTAATTTTAATACCAAAAATATAATTTGATTAATACATTATTTACACATATTAATATCAATATATGATTGTAAAAATATAATTAAATACAATATTGTTTATTTTAAGATTAATTTATTTATTAAAAGATTAATCATGTATTTCCTATAACATCAAAACAATTTTTAGTTATTAGAATATTAATCAAGTGTTTTCTACAAAGTCATAACAATATATGTAAAAATTATTATGTTACCTACAATATGTGTATATATATATATATAGGGTTGGGTTCACATGAGAATGATTCTCAATGAAAGAAATGAGAATAAATAGTAGCCATTAAATCAAATGATCTAATGGCTAAAAAAAAATCAAAATTATACATTCATTAAGGATATTTTAGTCATTACAATTATATATCACCAACACATCACATGCCACATCACCTCTCCCACACACCTAACACACCCGTAACACACGCAGACACACACATGACACACGCACACACACATCAGCACCCACTAACACACTGTTACAGAATGTGTGTTTTGTATTACAACGGGAACCTATGAACTGACTGAAGTGTTCAGTTCGTACAAAAGAACTAAAAACAAAAAATGAAATTACAACTTGAACGTGGAGAGATTTGAGCCGAGGCGATTGAAATCTATCCGCAAGACAAATACGCCCCGTG